AAAAACACAATAAAGCGTTAAGCACCGTGACATCGGTTTAAAATAAAAAAAAAAAAAAAAAAAAAAAAAAAAAAAGAAAAAATAGTTAATTTGGTCCCTTTTCTCAGCACCTAGCCTATATCATTATTTTTTTGATTATTAATGTAACAACACATGATCTATGTTTTTGGTATTACATAATACTAGTGATAATCACAAGTGGTAATAATTAGTAATTTTATTTATATATATATATATATTATTAAATAAAATATTATATTTAATCAGAAAAATGAATAACTTTTTTCTTTTTTGCTTGTTTATTTAATTGATTTCATTTGCTCTTATGAGAATAATTTGAATCTTCTAAATCAATATCAATTTCTTGCTCAGAATTTACAAATAAATCTTCTTTTTGTTAATTATCAGATAAAATTTCCTTTTAAGGTTCTTTGATTTGATTGGAAGATTCTATTTGAGGATCTTCTATTTGATTGGTTATAGATAATTGTTCAAATTCAAGACAATATTTATCAAGACGTCTTAAATTCAGATAATTACAAAGATATCTTTTCTTATATTCTGGAAAATGATGATACCAATACATTTGTTCATCTTTCTTAACAATAGATTCTTCAAATCTATCAGATGATTGTAGAATTTTTCTTCACAATTTCTTATCTGTTAATGCTTAACGTTAAAATTTTACTAACCAATACATATTTTGAAAATTAGCTTCTAAACCTTTATGAAAAATGAGTTGAGTAGTAGATTTTTCAATATTATTATTCTATTCTCCTTGAAATTCTATAACAAAATCCAATTGATGATTACATTGTTTATAATCACGTTTATTATTATTCTCATTATTACACTGTCCAAAATTATAAGCTTCTTCAAGTGGTTTTGTACTTGACATAAAAATATATTTTGCTTTAAATGAAGTTTTATATATCTCATATTTAATTTCCACAAGACAAGATATATCATTTAAAACATTTATTATATCTGACCAATCAATTTTTGTATAGAATTCATTAAAAAATATGATTTCTTGATCTTCATAACCATTCTAAAAATTTGATCTGCTATGTTGTTTTTTTTGTTTTTCAAAATATTCTCTATTAAATAATTCTAAAACCAAACCAGTTTTTCCAAATCTTCCTGGTTCATATAGATAAAAAACCACTGGACACCAACATCTTTGAATAGCATCTTTCTTTTTTTGTAAAAGTCTATTATATACATCACAAACAATAGCTATATTGCTTGGACCTATTGAGGATTATCCTTCACAAACTTGATAGTCATTTCTTCTTTTAATAAATTATTTTTAATAATTTTATCTATATATTCTTCTGCAGCTTTCATTGTATGGTCTTTATATTGATTTTTTCTTGTTTTATTTTGAATATTTTTATTTTGTTGTTGAATCGAATATTCATTTGGTCCAGAATTATCATCATAACGAGCCAATATGCATTAAGAACAACATTCTTCATTACACTATACACATTTTAAAAAATTATTCAAATCATCATAACTATATTGACAAATTGCTAAACGATTATTTCCATCTAATATAGTATTTTTTATAAATTCTTGTTCAGTAAGATGTTGATAATCTTTATGTTTAACTATTTGACAATTATAAATTGAACATTTGTTGTATTTTTTTTACAATATAAAACCAAATCTTCTATACTGACAATATAATCAAAATGTATTTTATCTTTTTTTTTTTTTTGGGCAATCCTGCCTTTATTATAAGAGGTGAGGTATTAAACTACTTTAAAGTATATACTACAAG